CTCTCTCTGACCACTGTGCCATAAGGCTGGAAATCAACAAAAGGAAGACGAAGAAAACAAGAGCAAACAATTGGAGGATGAATAACTCTCTACTGCAAAAGGAGTACTAACAGATCAGAGATGAAATTAGGAAATTTCTAGAAACCAATGAGAATGAGTGCACGATGTACCTGTATTTTTAACTTTTGTGCTTGTTTCATATATGCTGTCCTTGATGTTATCCCACATCTTGTATGGCCTTTTGTCATTAGCCTTCAATGTGTCAAGACTATTCTTGAAAATCAAACCAAACCAATCACACTGTCTAAAGTATATTTTAACTCATCGCGACTCTATAGAACAGAGTGCACCTGCTCCATAGGGCTTCTAAGGCAGTACATCTTTATAGGCGTAGACTGCCTCATCTTTCTCCCATGCAGCAGTTGGTGGGTCCAAACCACTGACTTTTGGTGTTAGCAGCCCAGTGCTTAACCTACTGTACCACTAAGATTCTTTTCTATTCTTGAGATAGTCTCTAAATTCAGGTGAATATATTCAAGATCATACTATCATTCTCCTGTATTTGTTTTAATTTGCTTCAGCTTTACCTTGGTCCATACGAGACAGAATTGACTTGATGGCAGGGAGTTTGTTTTTGTTTTGTTTTGGCCAGTTTTTTGCCTTGTTTTGACTAATGCTATTAAGCTTCTCCATCATCTCTTTCCATAGATGTAGTCAATTTGGTTCTTACTTATTCCACTGGGGAAATTCATGGGTATAGTCATCTTTTGTTGTTGAAAATATATATATAATGGAATAAGTCATTGGTCTTACAAACTTCTATCAAATGACCTCCAGCATTATTTCTATAACCGAGCCCATATTTTCTAATTCCATAATCTACTTTTTTTTTTTAATTTTGAGAAAGATTTTATTGAGGCAGGAAAAGAACTTCCCGGAGGGTAGGGAGAGCAGAGAAGGACGGGGGCACCTTAAGTCCCCAGGCGGTTCCAAGACCCAACGAGTTAGGTCAGGGAAATCGCCCATAATCTACTTTTTTAAGGAGCCCTAGTGGCAGAGTGGATTTCATCCTGAGCTGCTAACTGTAAGGTCAGCAGTTCAAACATACCAGTTTCTCTTCAGGCTTAAGGAATTTGAGTCTCAGAAACCCAAAGTGGAAGTCCTACCCTCTCCTATAGGGTCACTATGAGTTAGCATAGGCTTGATGGCAGTGAGTTTGGTTTTGGTTTTTATCCTTATTCTTTATTTTTATCCTTTTTCTTGATCAACTTTAGCATCCCAATTCCCAATGCTTTATCAATGCATCTTGATTATATGTTTGATTAATATCTGAAAGCAGAAGTTGGTAAAAGACTACAGTTTCTTCATCTTTGACATTAGTGCTCAGTGCATTAATTTAATAGTTATATTAATTATCTTCCTTGTAGGCCTATGAATATTATTCTACCACTTATAGAATAAATACTATGAGATACTACAGGATAAATCTTGAAATGTTCTTTTTGACAATGAGTGTAATACCATTCCTCTTCAATTTGTCATTCCTGGCCTAGTGGATCAATTTTAAATGACCACTATCAGTCCATTTCAGTTCACCAGGGCCTTCGATGATTGATCTTTATGTGTTCATTTTGATGTTGACAATTTCTCATTTTTCCTAGGTCCATCCTTGGTATTTGTTCAAATTATTAGTGGATGGTTGCAGCTGTTTCTTCTCATTTTGAGTCGTACCACCTCAGACAAATACAGGTCCCAAAAGCCATATCCCAACCATGAAAATCGACTCTACTCTGTGGAGGCAGCTCTTCTCTACTTGCATTTTGAAGCCCTCTAGTCCGAGGAACTTATCTTCTGGAACTAAACCAGATCATGTTCCACTGCTGTTCATAAGATTTACCCTAACTCCACCGCCCCCCACCTCCTTTCTTTCTTTCTTAAAAATAAATAGGCCTCTTTCCCTCTCAGGCAAAACTCACTGCCACTGAGTCGATACTGATGCATAATGACCCCTGTGGATTTTACGAGAGTAGAAAGTCAAGTCTTTCTTCCGCGGAGCTGCTGGTGATTTTGAACTGCCAACCATGAGGATCAGAGCCCAACCCATAAGCAGTACACCAGCAGGGCTCCACTCTCCTTTCCTAGACTGTCTTATTCTGGAAGCTCCACTGAAACATGCTCAACGTGAGCGACCACAAAGGTATTTCAGATATTGGTGAAATATCCAGCCTCACAGCAATATACAAGCAACACAGTACGACAAACTGACTAAAGACAGATTCTCTGACCCAGAGAACTAGAGGTCAAAAAATCAATAGGAAGATGAAATTCAAGACTATACAGAGGCAGAGGTCCAAATGGGGATAAAACCATAAAGTCCTTACTCTATATGTGCTCATATATGGTCTGTGATGTCAACTGAAATATCTGAAAAGAATTTAACACATTGACATATGAGGAGGTATCCCCCACCCAAATCAAAATTGTTTTAGCTATGTATTTCAATTTTTTTACAAAACAACTCTATCACCTTTAACGTACTCTCCATTACACTTAATGCATCTGTCAAATCTGCAATTCCATTCTTGGAGACATTTTTAAAACTCATCTGTTTGGATGACTGACAGCGCCTCTTTCATTTTTCTTCACCTCTTCTGTCATCAAATCTCTGTCCTTTCATGTCCCTCTGCATTTGCGGAAACAAAAAGAAGTCACACGGAGCGAGGTCAGGTGAATAAGGTGTGTGGGGCAAGAGCGGCATGCTGTTTTTGCCAAAAACTGGAGCACTGAGACGGCTGTGCGAGCTGGTAAATTGCCATGGTCACAAAACAAGTCCCCCATCTGCCACAAAGGAGGCCCTTTTTGTCACACAGTCTCTTCAGAACCTCCAAATAGAAAGCCTGATTAACAGTCTGACTTGGTGGAATGAATTCCAAACACACTGCGAGTTCACAATTCCATCCGTTCAGGAAGATGATGGACGTCTAGAACGAAGTTTGTCATCAATCGACATTTCACCTTTTTTGAAATGAGAAAACCACTTGTACAATTGACTTTTCCCCCTAGGGATATCCTTGTAAGCTATGTTCAACATCACAACAGTTTATGTGGCATTTTTCCCAAGCAGGAAACAAAATGTCACAGGTACACTGTTCTTTTAAATCGGCCATCACACGAAAAAACAAGGTTCGAGCAAAACTGATTTTACAAAAAAATTCACTGTGACCAGAGAGAACTTTCCCAGACAATGCCACTGAGTGCACTAACTCAGAGCGAGGTGCTCAATGAGAAAAATGCATACTACAAAAGCTCTGCCCAATGGAGCTTTTTCTGTTTTTTTTCCCTCATGGTAACTGTAATAAATGTTAGATGTGATTATTTTTTTTATTATTAGACTCATCATATATGACATCTGCCTAGTCCACACCTGGAAGGAGCCTTGGTGGCATAGTGGTTATACATTGTGCTAATAACCACAGAGGCATCAGTTTGAAACCACCAGCCAACCCAACAGAGAAAGATGAGATTTTATACTCCTGTAAAGAGTTACAATCTTAGAAACCCAAAGAGACAGTTCTGTCCTACCCTATATTGTTGGTATGAGTCAGCACTGACTCAGTGGAAGTGAGTCAGTACTTGATACAGTAACCCAGTAAGCTTTTGTAAAGTTGAATTAACCTCTGTAGCAATTCTTATGCTAGTAAAGGATCTAATACAACAGTTTAAAAAGTCTATGTGAACTCAAAATACCTACTTTTCAATAAATCCATCTCTAGTAAAATACTCATGATGTAGAAGATCAGTAGAAGATATCCTCTCAGCAGGATCAATTTGCAAACAAGCCTTAAAAAGGAAGAAGATGCTAATGTTAAGTGAACTCTTGACAGGGCTCTAAGCACTGTAAAAAGTAAATTTATTTGACATATGAAGTAGTAGTTAGTTGCTTATAGCTGAAAGTGTTCTTAAAAAGATAAAATTAAACCTTAGACATTTCTGACAGTAAATTCTGAACTCTTATTTCCATAAGAAATTTGCAGTTGCAAAGCATTATTACAGGTTAACTATCTATCCTATGATCTGCCATTGAGTCAGTTCTGACATAAAGCGACCCTCCTGTCCTTGATTCTAGTCAAAACAGAGACCAGCCTGACTTCTGCTAGAATTAGCAGAAAATGTCAGCCCTCCTATCAGCCCTGTGAGGTAGAAAGTTCACGGATAACCATTTCTAATTTAAACAGATCTGGAAGCATGGATACTGATTTGGCATACTAGAATTGTTGTCCACGTGTTCTGACTTCTCAGTGGTCTCTCTATGGCATCATATGATTTTGCAAATATTTGAGATAATAGTTGCACACAATGGACCTGTGTATGACCAAATAGCTATCATGTATGAAACAAAATAATGATACTTATAAGATAAATTTCTTCAATCAAAATAATGAAGATAGAGTTTGAGAAAAGCCCTCTGCATTGTAAGTTTTATGTTTCCTCTTAAAGCATAATATAATAATAAAATGCAACTTGATACTTAAGAATCCTGAGGAAATAGTGAGTTCAGCGTTGGGCTCCTAATCATGGGTCAGCAGTAGAGCCCACCAGTTGCTCGATGGGAGAAAGGTGAGGCTGTCTGGCTGCATAAAATACTTACAACTTTGGCAGCCATATGGAGCAGTGCCACTCTGCACCTGTGGGGTTGCTATGAGTTGGAATTGACTCTGTCCGTGGTCGTGGGTTTGGGTATTGGTTTTAGTAAGCTGATACAATACTCTAACCCTCTCTTCTCACTTGGTCCTACCAAGGACCCTCCATAAAAAACAAACTTACTGCCATTAAATCAATTCTGACTCAGAGTGACCTCATAGGACAGTGTAGAACTGCCCCTGTGGGTTTCTGAAACTCTAAATTTTTACAAGGGTAGAAAGCCTCAACGTACTCCTTCACTCAAGGACCCTGTAAGGTAGTTCTTTTTATCTCCATTGAGGAAATTGAATCCCAGAGACTAAATAATTTCCCCTAGATAACTAGTAAGTAGATCAATCACAATTAAAATGTTTTTTAAAATCCAAGGTATTCGCATATAATATGCTGCTTTTGTTTATTTCAAAATGTGTGATTTTTTTAAGACGCACATTGTGAAAGGACACCTTACTTGGTAAAGTGGAGGGCAGTGACTAAGAGGAAGGCCCTCAATGAGATGAACTGACACCGTGGCTGCAACAATGGGCTCAGGCACAGGAACAATTCTAAGTATGGACCAGGATCGGGCACTGTTTCATTCTGGTATGCACAGAGTCAGTAGGGGTCAGAACCGGCTCACCGGCACCTAACAGCCACACAACCATACTATGATGTGGGAATACTAATACCTAAAACTGTAAGTGAACATAGTTTAGCTAAAAATATTTTTTATACTTCTAATATTTATTACTTATTTTACTCTTCATTAAAATATAATTTTATCATCTCTAATATTAACATAGCTGCAAAATTATTACCCAGAATAGCACAGTCATAAAATATAAGAACATAGATTTAAGCCACTGCATATTTCCCAGGGCTAAAAATAATCTAACAATATGTTAGAAAATAATGGTAATCAATCAATACAACTTAACTGAAAAATGTTAAAAGGTCACCCTAAATCACAGTCTATCAGAGGGAGACAAGTTAGCCATGATATAAATAATGCAATTCTAAAACTTAAAATACATGTCCTAATTGAGATACGTAAAATGTTAAACTTTGGAAAACAGATTCATAGTTTCTTTAAGAACTAACTGCACACCTACCTTATGACGCGATACTTCTACTCCTAGATATTGAAATATATATAGATTGATATATTGATATAGACATAGAAATTAAAAGATATTTTACAAAAAAAGTTCACACATATTCAGAGCAACATTATTAGTAATATCTAGAAGCTATCAACAACTCAATTGCTATCAATAGGGAATGAATAAGTGAATTGTGCTATTTCCATACTGTTTGCTAATAAAAAGAAACAAACTAGTGATGACACACCCATACTTATTCAGTCTGTGAGGAGCCCTGGTAGTGTAGTGGTGATGTGTTGGGCTGTTAACTGCAAGGTCAATAATTCAAAACCACCAGCTGCTCCTCGGGAGTTAAAAAGTCTCAGAACTCACAGGGCAGTTCTACCCAGTCTGGCCTATAATTCAGCATAGACTCGATGGCAGTTTGGTTTTGTCTTTTATTCGGTCTGCATGCTAAGCAAATAATCTAAGAACCTGGACTATATGAAGTAGAACACAGCATTAGGGCTGGAGGAAAGTTTATTAACAACTTGTGATATACAGATAGCATGCTTGCTGAAAAGGAAAATGACTTGAAGCACTTGTTAATGAGGATCAAAGACCGTCAACATGGATTATAACTCAGTGTAAAGTAAGTAAACATTCTCACATCTGGACCATAAAATGTCATACTAACAGGAGAAACCTTGGTATCAAGGACTTCCTTTTATTTGGATCCACAACCCACACTCATGGAAACAGCAATCGAGAAATCAAATGATAGTTTGCATTGGTAAGTTTGCTGCACAAGACTTCTTTAAAGTGTTGGGAAGGAAGTATGTCCCTCTGAGAACTAAGGGGCTCCTGACCCAAGACATGGTGTTTTCCGTCACCCCTTCTGCATGCAACAGCTGAACATTGTAAGAAGAAAAGAGAAGAATCGGTGAACTTAATAAGTTGATGCAATCCTGTAGCCTACTTCTTTTAAAAATTATGGTGCTAAGAATATTAAAAGTGCCATGAACAGCAAAAAGAACCAAGCGCTTCATGGGGAAGTACGAAATGCTCCTTAGCCGTGAGTATGGTGAGTCTTAATCCCCTAGACTTTGGGCATGTTGTCAGGAGAAAGAAGTCCCTGCCAAAGGACATCACGCTTGGCAAAGTAGGGGCTCTGAGAGGAAGGTCCCCAAAGAGTTCTGCAGCATAACAACCGTGAGGATGGCAGATGGCACAGCACAGGTTAGTGTTTAGTTCTCTTGTACATGAGGTCGCTGTGAGTAGGTGACTCAAGGCACCTAACAGTGCCGTGTTTAAAAGCTAGACCTCCAGAATCACAGAACCTACATCACAACCCAGCTCTGCTACGACAAACTCTCCAGCCTTGGTAAAGTTACTGAACGGCTGTGCTCTAGCTGTCCTAGCTACAATGACAAGAATCAGCTTTGTCCGTAACTTCTGTGTTTGGAGGATTAAGGAAGGTAATGGTGAAAAGGGCACAGGACTTTGAAGAAGCTGCCCTCAGATGTTAACTGTTTGTTATTTAGGTAAGCCCAGACAGTCTGGAGGAAGCCTGATAGAGTTGGGCTGCTAACCTCAGGGTCAGCAGTTCTAAACCACCAGCATGCTCCACAAGAGAAAGGAGGCTTTCGACTCCTGCCAACAGTCAGTCTCAGAAACCCACAGGGAGTTCTACCCTGTCCTGGAGGTGTCACCATGAGTCAGAACCGACTCGAGGGCAGTGAGTTTGGTTTCGAGTTGGTATGTACTGTATTACCTAAAAATAATTATTCTTGAAAGGAAAAAACATATATCCTTGTTACTTGGAAAGAACTGGAATGTGCTAAAGATGACATCTATTTGATTCTTAGCTTAACTAAAAAGATGTATTGTTGCTATTGTGCTGTTATTGTTAGCTGCCCCTGAGGTGATCCTAACCGCCACCCAAGGGGACCAAGGGTGTTCCAGAGGGTTTTCATTGGCTGATGTTTGGTAAATTGCCAGGCCTTTCTGTCTAATGTTTCAGTCTGGAAGCAGGGGTAGAATTATCTCCACCAGGTGGGATAACCAGGTTCAATGCCCAGCATGTAGGGTTGATGTGCCGTCAGCACCCATCTGTCAGAGGATGTGTATGTGTTGCTACACCCTGAACAGGATTTAAGTGGAATTTTTATCATGCTTTAGATAAAGGTTTACATAGGAAATTAGCTTTTGAGTCAGTAATTCGTGCACAAGTTGTTCTGTGACAATGTTTACAATCCCTGCAATGTGACAGTGCTTTCCCCATTTCCACTCTGACTTCCCTGTTTCCATTTGCCTGATTTTAATAATAGGATATTAATAATAGATGTTTTACTTTTTTCACCTTCCCTGTCTTCTCATCTTTGTTGCCTTTTGGGTATAATATTGGTTGCAAGGAGTGTCTTCCTCACTGGAGTTATTCGTCTACAGGACACTCTGAAGTTATGCGATGGCTTCAGCTTCAGTTACACTTTAGGAAGGAGACCTAGGGTCAGTCTCAGCGGTTCCTCTTCCTTCTTGAGCTGCCCTTTGAAATTTTTTCTCTAGCTCTTTGACTCTCATTTCTTCCGTTTGCTGTAGGAACTCTGTTTAAGAGCATGTTTCAGAGTCTCTTCTGATATCCACTTTGGCCTTCTCTTTCTTTCCAGTCTTTTAAAAACTTTTTCATTTCTTCATATGAATTCTTGATCACATCCCACAACTTGTCAGGTCTTCTGTACTTAATGCTGAATTCACCAAATCTGTTCTTGAAATGGGTTCTACATTAAAGTGGGGTATACCCAAGGTCGTACTTTGATTCCCGTTTGGACTTGTTTTAATTTTTTGCACCTTCAGCCTGAATTTATATCTGAGCAACTGATGGAGTTCCACAGTCTTCCCTTGGCCTTATGATTCTGGTCTCTTCCTACAACTGCAGTAAAATTGATTCTTGTGTATTTCAACTGATGAGATCCACATACATAGTTGCAGTTTATGTTGTTGAAAAAGAAGTCACAGCCAAGGGAAAACAAACAAACAAACAAACCAAAGTCACAGTCTTGCAAAATTCGATCATGGGGTCTCCAGCTTCATTTCTGTGGTAGATATATAATCCTTGGTCAATTTGAGGATTAAGAGTGTAGGGGTGAAGACTAGCTTGTCAATCAGATCATAGCCAATGAGACCTGTGTGGGCATGGCCTTTTCCTGAGAATTCTGGAAAATCCGGTACTTCCTCCTGGGAGGCAGGAGACACTTCTCTGCTACTCCCTGGGAGACACTGCAGAAGACAAGCCACATGGACGCAACCAGACCTCAGAAGCCAGAGAAGACACAAAAGAGACCCCTGCCAGCGCTGAGATGCTTACGCCGCCACTGGACCCAAGGACTTTCTACTCCATGGCTTGTGGTCGTCCTGCATTTGGCTTCATTACTTGTGTTCTGTGAGTCTGAAGAGGACTTTATAGATTGGTATTGGACATATGGGCTAATATCAGACTTATGGACCTGATCTGGACTGAGCTGTGATGTTTTCTCAATTTTCAATTGCTTTTGTATATAAATCTCTTTCTTATACACGTGTGTCCATGGATTTGTTTATCTAGTCTACCCAGACTAGCACAATTTCCATCACCAAGGCTACATTTTCCAACTAATTATCCTTCTTTGTTTCCAACTTTTCCATTCCAATCATCAGTCATTATCAGTGCATCTTACTAGGATGTTTTTCAGACTATTTCAGACTGAAGAAGTTGGTAAAATTTTTCAATTTCTTTATTATAATCTTTAGTGGTTTGTGCATAAATTTGAATAAAAGTTATATTAACTGGTCTTCCTTACAGACATATAGATGTTACCCTATTACATGTATTATCCAATCACACTGTACTTCAACAAAGAGCTTGAAATGTTCTTGTTACCAATGAATTTAATGTAATGTCATTCCCATGGTAATTACTGTAAATCAAATGATTATCTGATTCAAAATGGCCAATCCTAGTTCATTTCAGTTCACTAATGCCTAGGATGTAGATTTTTATGTGCTCTATTTCATTTTTGATGACCTCCAATTTTCCAAGATTCATACTTTGTACATGCCATGTTCTAATTATTAATGGATGTCTGCAGCTGTTTCTTCTCATTTTGAGAGATACCCCATCAGAAAATGAAGTTCCTAAAAGCTTTTCTCCATCTACATTAAGATCTCATTTTAGGAGGCAGGTCCTTCCTCGTCATAGTTGGAGTGTCTTCTTATGAGTGGTTCCTCTTCTGGCACTCTATCAGACACCACTACTGCTGTTGTTCAGAAGGGTTTCAATGGCCAACCCCTCAGAAGTGGGCAGCCTCTTCCTTCTTCCTAGTCTGTTCTTACTTGGGAAGCTCCATTGAAACCTGTCCATCCTGGATAACACTGATGGTATTTGAAATCCCAGCGACAGAACACCAGCATCACAGCCACATGCAAGCATGACAGTGTGGTAAACTAACAGACAAGTGAGGAACATTACGTTTACCTTGAAACTTAAACATTTTCAGTAACTTATTTCATTCTTGTTGAGAATACACACAGCAGAACATACGCCAACTCAATTTCTATAATTCAGTGATATCGATGACATTAGTCAGGTTGTGCGACTATTCTCCCCCACCCCTGCCCATCCCCCCATGCTTTTCTGAGTCGCTCCTCACCCATCAACATAAGCTTGCTGCCTCCTAACTTTTTAAGTCTTTATCCTTGCTGTTGTCAACTGACCCCAGATATATAGTTTTCTGCTTGTTTTTTTTAAGTATTCCATGCTACAGATTTATTATAGTTTATTTAACCAAAGTTTTTGTTATTATTTTTTCAAAACCATTTTATTGGGTGCTAATGCAGATATCATACCATTCCATAGTTCAATCACATTTAGTATTTATTATACAATTGATACCACAATCAATTTCAAAACATTTTCTTCCTTCAGCTCCCTTTTACCAACACCCCTCTCCCACGGTAAACCCAGGAGCCCTTCTTGTGCTTGTTGTCTCTACAGGTTCATCAATCTGGGTTTAATACACCAAAACGAGCACAGGACAGAGATTCAAGAAGAATATCCTCAGTGACAAAATACATCAAAGATAAACCCCAATATGAAAAAATTTTCACACAGAAAGTATTGAAAATCAGATCAGACCCAAAGTGCATCAGAGGGAGAATTAAGTGACAAGTTTCTAACTGATCAAGACAGGTTTATCATTTTGATCTTCTATAGTCGCCTCTCCAATACTTTCTGTTTGGTAGCCAACTTATTCCCATCTCTCAATTACGGTTAGAGGAAATCACTGGAGGCTGATGTCCCATGTATCTCACAATGTATCTTGGGTTTCCACTATTATCCATACCCTTGCATATCTGCAAACCAGAATCTCACAATTTAAGCTCTGATCCTGTTCCCTCCTTTGGCTTTGGATTATATAATTTACAATCTTTGGGTCACGGATGCTGGCATACTTCTTACATGTGGACGTAGTTGATGTCTCACTTAGATGCCTGCTTCTTTGGAAACAAGCCTTTAAGACCCCAGATGCTATCTGATAGCTGGGCACCATCTAATTTCTTCATCACATTTTGCTACAGCACCCATATCTTCTGTATTTCTTTCATGAGGGCAAAAACTAATTTTTCTTAAATTGGAGCTAGGATTTAGTGTGAGCCTAAAATCCATTCCAGGTTCCTTTTAATTTTTTTTTTATCTGCCTCTGGCTCCCCTTAGAGACCTCCTTGTTGATTTATGGTAGAGAATCTAAAAGTAGGTAGAAAAAAACTAAAAAATAGTGGACATGATTATCTTAAAAGGCTTTCAGCTTAACAGTCTCAGAAAGGTTGAAGGTTGAAGTTCATCCAGAGGCACTGCAAAAGAAAGACCAATCTACTTCTAAAACGTCAGTCGTTGAAAACTCTATAGAGCCCAGTTCTACTCCGACACACAACGGGTCAACGTGAGTCAGAATCGACCAAGGCAACTGGAAACAGTGGCGATTTTTAAAGAAGAGTACAGTGCTCCTTAAAGGCAATACTGACACGAATTCTCCTTACGTGCTTTGGACATGTTGTCAGGAGAGACCAGTCCCTGGAGAAGGAGGTAAAATGGAGGTCAGAGAAAGAGAGGTGGGCCCTCCATGAGATGGAGTGACCATGGCCGACAATGGGCTCAAGCACAGGCCCAATTGTGAGGACGGTGCGGGACCGGACAGTGCTTTGCTCTGTTATGCAGAGTCGCTTTGGGTCAGAACCACCTCAATGGCACCTAACAACAACAACAACAACAGTATTTTTAATAGATAACATCACTAATTATTTTGACATTCCATTATCATATTTTTAAACTATTATAATTTATGCAAAATTTCCAGGAAAAAAGTCGTTAATCTCTTAACATACATGAACTATATCTGCCAATAATCCATTTAACTTTGGGTATTTTTTCCTTGCATTTCTGGGATGTTGAACTTGAGGAAGGACCACCCCAGCAAAAATGGGATGCTTGGAAAATATATTCTGCAAGTGAGGTGTCAAATTGCCTGAAAAGACAAAAAGTATATTTTAGAAAAATATATTATAAGAAAGCAGGGAAATTAGTCCATAATCAAAATTCTCAAATTGCTATGTGATCTACAATAAACTACTAAAGAACTAAGAAGAGACTAACAACGATGAACTTTAAATTTTTAAAGTTAAACACAGAACCATCTGAATGTTATAAAACATGATCAAAGAACTATCCCCAGTAATCTGTTGTAGCATATATGCAACAGAGAATGTAAATCTACCAAGTTTATCTTCTTTTCCCAAATTCATATAAGGCCTAAAATAAAATGCTATTAAGATAAGCACATTCAAAACATTCCCATGTGGGTATCTAAGTGGTTGAACTAGTAGGTGCTCATCAGCAAAACCATTGAGGTGATTTCAGTGCATAGTGACCTTATAAGACAGGGTAAATAAGACAGAGTAGAACAGTCCCTGCGGGTTTCCAAGGCTGTAAATCTTTACAGAAGCAGAAAATTTCATCTTTTTCCTTTGGAGTAGCTAGTGGGTTTGAACCACTGACCTTAACGTCAGCAAACCACCGTGGGGTGGGGGCAGGGAGGAGAAAGAAAAAGCTGAATTACTAAAATTACTTAACAATCTAAATATTACCAAAAAAAGAAACAAAGTGAGGGAGTAGTAGAATAAAAAGAACTATTCAAGTTGTAGAAAATCCTAAATTCTAACACCAGTTTTCCTATAGTTAGCCCTTTATGTTTGGGCAAACTTCTATAACCGCAAAATGAGAGAACTGATTTCAAAGTCTATAAGATTTTTTTAACATAATTTCAAAACCAGAACTTCAAAGATGATACTCCAAAAATGTTATAATGTTTTAAAGCAATATTTACCCCAGTTCACCATTTTCATAGTTGTTCTCAGCACTCTCATAGCCTTTCCTAATGATTCTGTTACTACTTGTTCATGTACAGCTTCCCCACCACACAAGTTTCTCATTCAGAAATAAGAAGAAAACAAATCATTGAAAACCCATGAGCCTGGCTAACCACATTGTTTGGATCACAAAACAGGCAGCAATAATGAAGCTCTCATCAAATATATTCCCAGATAAGTTATTTAACTATATGGCTACCCACTAATGTGATGCTTGTGGGCATTTGTTTTTTGGGGGGAGTGGGGGTAAGGGATTAAAGTGTTTAGTTCATGAACAATTGAATTTCTGTTGCCAAGTATCTTCAAAACACATCTGACTCAAGTCTACTATTTAAAGGCCTGGTTTAGAGATGCAAAGATTTGTAGAAGCCAACATTTAAAAACAGCTTTCAGGCAAATTGAAGTCGGTTCTTATTATACTATTTCTCTGACCATCAACTAATAGCATATGGCATAGCTATTTGTACCCGTGCAAAGAAAATAATACTTACAAAAACAGGAGAATTTGCTGTCTTCTTTATCCACCTAAGGCATCCATCTGCTGGCATCTATCAAAACAATGTGCTTCCCTGTTCTTATGAAGTAAAAGCTTAAGTTGAAAATCAAGCAGAACTGATCTGGCAATATTTATTTTAGGCATGTAACAGAATATTTCAATATTACCTACCTACTTTTAAAACAATTTTATGGAGTAAATCCAAATCAGAACTGCTAGGAAGATAGGGGTTTCCAGTGGCCATCTCAATGATCATACAGCCCAAAGCCCAGATATCCACAGGTCTGGAAGGGATAAGAATAAGTGACTTTTTTTTTCATGCAGAGGCTATGTAAAATCTCAATCTTCATAAAACTTTCAAAATAAAGTCAAGGTCTAAGAAACAAATCTAAGTGGCTAGCAATTGACTTCAGTCAATCCTGACTCACAGTGATTGTATAAGTCAAAGTATAACTATTCCATAAGGTTTCCAAGGGTCTTTTGGGAAGTATAGAGTACGTCATCATTCTCCTGTAAAGCAGCTGATGGGTCCAAACCATGGATCTCTGGGATGTTAGCTGAATACTTAACCACTGTGCTACAAGAAGTCCTTCTATTCGTTAAAAAACAAACTGCCTTAGAGTCAATTTGGACTCATAGCAACCTTACAGGACAGAGTAGGACTACTACTTTGGATTTTTGAGGCTCAAAGTCTTTACAGTACAAAAGACCCTCATCTTTCTCCTGTGGAATGATTGGTGGTTTTGAACTGCTGACTTTGAGGTTAGCAGCCCAGTGAGTAACTGATTATGGCACCAGGGCTCCTTTCCTTGTTTAAGTAGCATCATTTATAAATTTTCACTGAAGCATCATATGCCTATTAAGGGCATACATTAAATATTATTGTATTTTATTAGCAAAATTAAATAATTTTTACTCAAATTGCTTGTTAAGTCAGGGAGCAATACAGATAAAATGCAATTACCATTCTAAAATTATTCCAGAAACATATAAAGACATTTGTATAAATGACTTCAGAATTAGAATACTTGAATACTAAAATCATCTTGAATTTTAAAAGTAATAAATAAAAATCCAAAATATGTTACCAGTTATATTTTATTTATCTTCATCCACTTTAAGTCAATCATAATCCAAATTTTGTCCACATAATATGTTTTTTAGATTTTATATATATATAAAACTAGTTTGTATCACTAGAGGTGATGAACAGATGAAAAGATACCAAACCTCTTTAAGATCTATCCATGTGGGATCAAAATGACAACAGCAACTTAGGGGGCAGTAGGGTTCTGCTAATTAGAAAGGAACAACTCAGAAAAGTGAGAGTGCTTAGACAGCTCTAAGGATGCCAGCAACGTCACTGAATTATACGTGCAAAAACAGCCGAATTGGTATGTGTTTTGCAGTATATATTCTCAACAACAAAATTAAATTAAACAAATAAAATCGAAGATACCACTTTACGGTTAGAAGTATAAATATAAATTGCATAATACATAAAGCACAAATTATATAATAAGGCCTATTTTTCACTAATCCAACTGGTTAAAATTTTTGGAAGGATGACTCCTATCCACCTAGTAGAGCTATGGATTAGGCATTAAGCTGCTAACCTGCAAGGTTAGGGCGCAAGCCCAACAGTTGATTAGGGAGAAGATGGAGCTGTGTGCTACCACAGATTTAGTCTCAGAAATCTCACAGAGGCTCAAACAAAACAATTGAGAGGAGGTTGCTGGTTCATAGGGTCTCTGTGAATCAGAAACAACTTGGTGGCACCTAACAACAACATTAAGTTGGAATCAACTCTATGGCAATGAGGATTTTTTTGGTTTGTCTTTGTTTTTTTAACCCATCATCTAAAGAGCTCTGGGGACACTAGTTAAATGCTTGGCCAGCATTTCAAACGCACCAGCATTCCAAAGGAAAAAGCTGCTTACATACATAAAGATTTGCTATGGAGCAATTCTATTCTGTCTCAGAGGGTCACTGTGAGGCTGACAGAATTTGATGGCAGTTAGGTTGGGTTGGTATCCAAACTTGCAAACTTGGTATCATACTTGCAAACTGGTGGTGGCCTATACGTTGTTAAAAGCTGGAAGCTCTTCCACCAGTATTCTAAATAACTAATGCAAATAGGAAAGAAAGATCTGGTGATTCACTTCTGAAGATTAGCATGTAGCATGCAACAAGGTAGCTTGAGAAACTGCTGAGAGAGGAATCAAATTGGACAGGATAGTGGCACTGAAGACAAAGTGAAAGACCCAGATGAAAATGTGTGAGAACAGAGTCAGAAAAGAGCTACCCTGTTTTCTGGTTTTGTTTGTTTTTAACACTGCACAAAAATAGAAGCAAGAGTTCTATGAAGTTGGAAAAGCTATCCTGGAAAATGTTTTGAAAATGATGATGGCAACATGTACAAATGTGCTTGATACAATTGATGTATGGATCATTGTAAGAGCTGTGAGAGCCCCCAATAAAATGACTTATTTGAAAAAGAAAGAAAAGCTATCCTGAAATATGTCTCCCTTCTCAAAGTTCAGAAAAATTAACTTCATGTAAAAATTAGTAACATTCAAATACTGGAGTTAATTCCCAATACTTGCAAATGATAGGGAAAAAGAGAATAAGGAATAGAATATTATCACAACAAAAACTCACCAGAAAATTGAGCCCATGAAATAGATAAAAATTGAAATGACCTATTTTAAAATGAGCTAAGAAACATTAGACATTAATGAAATGTGATAAGACATGAAAGAGCCACATAAATCAGAATTAGAGAAACACACAAATTAGTTGACAAAACTCTGCAACAAATTAGAAATAAAAAAATCACTTCAGGGGGGAACCAATCTACATATAACATACATAAATAAGGATTTACATATAACCTCCTCCTTGGGGGGCAGACAACAGAAAAGTGGGTGAAGGGAGATGTTGGACAGTACACGATATGACAAAATAATAACTTATAAATTATCAAGGGTTCATGAGGGAGGGGGCAATAGGGAAGGAGGGGAAAAAATGAGGAGCTGATACCAGGGGCTTAAGTGGATAGCAAATGTTTTGAGAATGATGAGGGCAATGAATGTACAAATGTGCTCTACACAATTGATGTATGTATGGATTATAATAAGAGTTGTATGAGCCCCTAATAAAATGATTTTAAAAAATCATTTCAGAAATAAAGCCTAAACTAGTAGGGACACAGAGTGAATAAATATAACTATTTAAGGCTTAAAAAAGTGAAAAGAAACTTTTTTTAAATTAAAAAGCAATGAAAGTGATAGAGGAATTGAAACTCTCATCCATTACAGAGAAATCAGAACTCCCATCTGTGGTTGGTAGGGATGTAAAATGGTAGCCGCTATGGAAAACTGTATCGCAGTTTCTCCAAAATTAAAAACAGAACTACCATATGGCCCATCATCCACTCATGGGTACATGTCCCAAAGAACAGAAACCAGTGTTTCAAATATCAATGTTCACTGTCACATACAAGAATTAATCATTGCTCCCCATTTTTTTCTTGGATTCAGTTATACATCTTGATTCCTTTATGTTCTGTAGAACTAATTGTTTTTATCTTAGACTAATGTTTCGTACTAGACTGCAAGCATGCCACTTTTGGAGGCACCTAGAACAGTACACTTGGGCAATGAATGTACAAATGTGCTTTACACAGTTGATGTGTGTATGGATTGTGATAAGAGTTGTATGAGCCCCTAATAAAATGATTTAAAAAAATAAATTAAAAAAAGAAAAGAACAGTACACTTTAAAATTTATTATTTGTGAATCTTGGCAGGGAGGCTGTCTTATTCCCCAAGGGATGGGAAACTTTGCAGTTCCTATTGCAACCCTGGCAAAGTGGGCTATATCATTTACAAATCTCTGCAGAATGTAAAGTGTAAAGATACATTGAGATGGCACTCTGCCACAGGTAGAGGCACAGCTGAAAGCAAGTTTGGGCAGGGATTTCTGCATTGGGTTCCTGGGGCTGTAGCCAGAGGGCAAGCAAGGAGCAGTGGGAGGGAATGCCACAGGCACTTCTTGGGCCTTTGGTTTGATGTGATTGTGACCTAAGTTATTGTACTTAATGTAGTTAGGAAAAATCACTGTCCTTACTAGAGGCAGTTAGTTTAAGGTACTTTACTTAATGAAGTCTCTATGGAATTTTCAGAAATTGCTCAAACACAAACAGGCTGGATTTGGACATCACCCAGAAGAACCAGATAATTCTGAGTCTTTTCTTAGTTACCTAACTGTTAATGATTAAAAGCCCTGTGATCTAGTTAGTCAACAAAGATAGCCTAAGACTGGGCTCAGATGTAAAGAACCTTCTTGTTCTATTTGCTTGTTCAGGGCCACCAGCTGTTACCCATGGTTACCTGAAACCTGAGTTAACGGAAAACATCTATATGTGACTCCTCAAAGTGTAAATTCCAAAGTAAAAGGTATATATTCTCTATGTAGTCTGATTACAAACAGGACTCCGCAAAGGCAGCATAGAAGCTACCGGTCTCCTCACTGGTGTTCATCTTCTAATTAAAAGTTTGAGTTCTTCCTTTAACTCAGCGTGAGTACATTGGCTGGACTACTCCAGGGCAAAATACCTGTGCTTCAGGTGACATTACCACTGGAGGTGTCGCTCTTCTTAGCTTCAACCAAGATGCAGAAAGCAAAGGCTGTCGGTAATGGAAATAACAGATAACACTAAGAGATAAGAGATGGCCAGGAAAGGTTAGGTAGAATCCCAAAACATACATACTTTCCGTAAGTGGTATCTTTTAGTACTAATTCTGGAGCTCTATACCATCGTGTGGCCACATAGTCCGTATAAATGTCCCCAGGAGCTGCTAGTGTCCGTGCAAAACCAAAATCACAGAGTTTAGTAATTCCTGACTGGGATACTAAAATATTCTCAGGTTTTATATCTCGATGAATGATCTAAAAAACAAATGAACAAAAAACAGAAGATGCAATAATATTAACATGAGGGTTTATTATCAACAAAATATCTAAAATTTTATGGATAAAACCTAGCCAATCCAGACAAGAAAACTATTGTTCATACTATATGCAAAGGATTAACACAATATAACAGCTAAATAGTTCACTATTTTCAACTCCTACCCCATCCAGCACTTCAAAATAAAAGCAAGCCAAGAAGACAGACATGATACTGAGAAGGTAAATCACAACCCCACAAAGAAAAGTAAACCAAAGAATTCAGTGAGAAAAACTAATCCTTATGCCTATGTCCTACTCCAGCTTCTGCCTTCCCTCATTTCCTTCACGGTTAAGCCTCTTGAAAACATTACTGTAGTCAGTCTGTATTTTCAGAACACCCTCGAGGTGATACGATACGTCTTCTGACTCCCTTATTTTTTAGACTACCCTAGCCAAAGTTATCAACAACCTCAATATTGCTATATTCAATACACACCTCTTAATCCACATCCTTCTTGATGGCTTATGGACAATCACTGCCAACCACTTCTCAATTCCCTTAGCTACTAGGACCTCAAACTTTCCATTTCCTTCTATCTCCTTTGAAGTTCTAATTTCTCTAGCTGTTCCTTAAATGGAGGGCTCTGGTTTTGGGCCTTTTTCTTTTCTCCGTTTCCAGGCAATCTCATCATCTACTCTTAGTAACTCTTAATAACTACCCATGTAAGGATGATCTCCCAAATTCCATCTCTAACTGATATCTTCCTCTTGGGTTCCGGTCCCACAAGGCGGAACTGCAGGCTTCTCAAACTAAGAAAATGCAAACCTCAAATCATCATCTTTTCAGCAAAACCTACTTGTTTTCAACAGTCCTTTAGCTCAGTGAATGGAACCAACATTCACTGCAAAGCTCATGTTAACCCAAAGCATTTCCACCCCCTAATCTGCATATTACCTTAGCCAATGTACTTCTCACTAGTTCAGGTGTCCTCAGCTCTCACCAAAATTACCAATTGGTACACAAGTCTACCAATCGATTTCCCTGACTTCACTCTGATCCCTTCCAATTTACTCTCCACAAAGGAGTCACAGTACTCTTTTAAAAGCATGCATCTGATTGTGTCACATCTGATTAAACCCTTCAGATATCCCATCCTACCTTAATTTCATAGCTGTTAAAATCATGTGTAAGGAGTCCTGGTGGCATAGTGATTGGTTACAAGTTGGGCTGCAATCTGCAAGGTCAGCAGTTCGAAACCCACCAGTCACTCCTGGGGAAAAGATGGGGCTTTCTACTCCCATAAAGTTAGTTTCAGAAACTCACAGGGCAGTTCTATCTTGTCCTATAGGGTCACTATGAGTTGACATCAACTCAGTGGCAGTGAGTTGGGTTTGGTTTGCGTTAAAATAGTCTGTAAGACCTTCAAAGATTTGGCTCCTGCTTACTTCTTTCACCTCCCCTCCCTAGACTAAGGAACTATAGTAGTTTCCCACTTGCCAGTCTTCGTCTCATCTCTGTTATTTACTGAAGCTGTTATGCTGGCCTACAACACTTTATCTGGATACTAGGTAAACCTGCTGCATAAGACCTATTTAGAGTATTGAAAGGTGAGGATGTTACTTGGAGGACTAAAGTGCACCGGACCCAAGCCATGGTGTTGTCAACCACCTCATATGCACGTGAGAGCTGGACGTTGAATAAAGAAGACCGAAGAAGAATCAATCCATCTGAATTACGGTGCTGGAGAAGAATACTGAAAGTACCATGGACTGCTAAAAGGACAAACTGATCTGTCTGGGAAGAAGTAAGACCAGAGTGCTCCTTAGAGGCAAGGATGGCAAAACTTCATCTTGCATATTTTGGACATGTCAGCAGAGACCAGTCCCTGGAGAAGGACATCATGTTTAGTGTATTGGGGCAGCAAAGGACGGGAAGGCTCTCAAGGAGATAGACTGACACAGTGGCTATAACAATGGGCTCAAACAGCACAACACTTGTGAGGATGGCACAGGACCAGGCAAGGTTTTGTTCTATGGTGCATAGGATCGCTGTGGGTCAGAACCCACTCAATGGCAACTAATAACAATGACTTATTAAAACCTCAACTTGGATCTTTGTATTATATCTTATGCATCATTTATATACTTCCTCATCACAGAACTGTCATACTACACTGTTAACTGTCCGTTTAGTCATCTATAACACCCATTAAACTATAAGCTCTATGAGGGTAAAATGTCTAGCTGTCTTCTTCAAGCTATATCCCTATGTCCACTATGAGCCCAGGACAAAGGAGGTATTTTTTTAATGTATCAATGAATGTACTTATCACCTGCAAAGTATCATAATCTGAGTGGGATTGTGTCAATGTTAGATATATGGGGTCTTTATTTACACAATTTACTGCAAAGTTATTTGGATTGCTCGTTTGCCTCAGTCTCCTTCTTTAAATGGCCAAAAATAAACTTGAGATAAACTACATTAGTCTTTCTTTACTTTTGCAAATTTTTTTACTTTCTACCAGGCACTTATTCAAAATCCGAGGATATAATGGAAAAAACAGACATGGAAAACCTATATTAAAATATCAGTAACTCACTAGAATAGCTATAATGAAATAAATGTTTAAAACCTCACTACCGTCAAGTTGATACCGACTCCTAACAATCCTATAGGACAGGGTAGAACCACCCATGTGGGTTTCTGAGTCTGTAACTCTCTGGAGTAGAAAGCCTGGTCTTTCTCCCTCTGAGGGACTGGTGGCTTCAAATTGCTGAGTTTATGGTTAACAGCCCAATGTGTAACCACTAAGCCACCAGAGCTCTTTATAAAGAGACAATAACAAACATTGGTGGGCATGCTGGTTAGAATGTGAAATGTTACAATAACTTTGGGAAACTTACTGTACTGGAAAATCAAGCAAATAAATTCCTAAGCATCCATTCAAGATAATTTAAAGCATATGCTTAATCAAGAAAATATACAAATGTTCACAGAAGTACTATTCCTAACAGCCCAAAAGTTGAAATAACAGAATGTTCTTCAACTGGTGGCACCTAACGACGATTCCCTCAAATTTCAAGTTGGATATTTGCATTGTATCTTCCATATCCTCCTCACAGCAATGTCACACGGTACTGTTAACTGTCAGTTTCTGTATCTATAATGGATAAAGAAATTGTGGTATAGCCATACAATGGACTTATTCAGCAATAAAAAGGAATGAAGTACTGATACATGGATGAACCTCAAACATATGCAAGTGAAGGAAGCCAGATGCAAAATAACTGTTGTCATTGTTGCGAGGTGCTGTAGATTTGGATCCAGCTCATAGCAACCCCGTGCACAACAGAATAAAACACTGCCTGGGCCTGCGCCACCTCATCGTTGCTGTTAAGTTTGAGTCCGTTGTTGTAGTCACTGTGTCCATCCATCTTGTTACAAGTCTTCCTCTTTTTCACTGTCCCACTACTTTCCCAAGCATGATGTTCTCTCCGGGGACTGGTCTCTCCTGACATGTCCAAAGTACCTAAGATGAAGTCTTGCCATTCTTGCCCTAAGGAGCATTTTGGTTGTATTTCTTCCAAGACGGAATTTTGTTGTTGTTCATTTGGCAGTCCATGGTACTGTAAACATTCTTCACTAGCACCATTAATTCAAATAGATGTTTTTTTCTTCACTCTTCCTTATTCAATGTCCAACTTTCATATGCATGAGACAACTGGATATACTATGGCTTGGGTCAGGCGTACTTTAGTCCTGAAAGTAACATCCTTACTTTACAACACTTTAAGGCAGTGGTTCTCAACCTTCCTAATGCTGCGAACTTTTAATACAGGTTCCTCATGTTGTGGCGACCCCAACCATAAAAATATTTTCGTTGCTACTTCATAACTGTAATTTTGCTACTGCTATGAATCGGGTAACCCCTGTGAAAAGGTCATTCAACCCCCAAAGGGGTCACAACTCACAGGTTGAGAACCGCTGCTTTAATTTCTTGTACAGCAGATTTATCCAATGCATCTCTTTACTGCTGCTTCCATGACCATTGAGTGTAGATCCAAGCAAGACAAAATCTTTGACAACTTCAACCTTTTCTCCGTTTATCAGGATGTTACCTACTGGTCCAGTTTTGAGGATTTGGATTTTGTTTACATTAAATTGTACTCCATACAGATGGTTGCAATCTTTGATCTTCATCATTAAATGCTTCCAAGTCTTCACTTTCTGCAAGCAAGGTTGTGTCATCTGTGCATCATGTCTACACTTTTGGATTAGCTTTCCTCCAATCCTGATGCAGCATTCTTCTTCACATACTCCAACTTCTCTGATTATGTGCTCTGCATACAGACTGACTACACAACCCTGATGCACACCTTTCCTGATTTTAAGCCATGTAGCATTCCTTTGTTCTGTCTGCACTAGTCTCCCGCTCCAAGGGCAGGTTTTATATGAACACAATGTAGTGTTCTGGGATTTCCATTCTTCTCAAGGCTATCCATAGTTCGTAATGGTCCACACAGTTGAATGCCTTGGAATAATCAATAAAACACAAGCAAACATCTTTCTGGTGACCTCTGCTTTCAGCCAAGATTCATCTGACACCACATCCTCTTCTGAAAATACTCTTATAAAAAAAGTATAATCCTGCCTGTATAGGTGTTGGACTATTAACTGCAATGTCAGCTGTTTAAACCCACCAGCCACTCCATGAGAGAAAGACGAGGCTTTCTGCTTTCATAAATATTTGTAGCCTTGGAAACCCACAGCGGCAGTTCTAGTCTGTCCTCTAGTGTCAGAATTGACTAAGTGGTAGTGACTTATATGAAATGTCCCAAAAGGTACATGTATAGAGACAGAAAGGTTAATGAAAGAGTGGACATGAGGATTCACTACAAAGGACTAAGATGAATCTTTCCAAGGTGACAAAAATGTTCTAAAATAGAATTGTGATGATAGTTGCAGAACTCCGTAAGTTTGCTTTTAAAAATCAATTAATAATCAAGGGTTCATGAGGGAGGAGGTGTGGAAGGAGGAATGAGCTGATACCAAAGGCTCAAGTAGAAAGAAAATGTTTTGAAAATGATAATGGCACCATATGTACAAATGTGCTTGACAAGATGGATGGATGGATGGATTGTGATAAGAGCTGTAAGAGCCCCCAATAAAATGATTTTTTTAAAGATCAATTAATAGTATACTTTAAGCAGGTGAGTTTTATGGTTTGTAAATTAAATATCAATCAAGTTGTTAAAAAATAGATCTGGATACTTGTCCTCAAAGAACTTATGTCAGAGTAGAAGAGACATATCTTGGACACATAACAAATATAAAAAAAAAAACACAACTCTCACAAGTGCTGGAGAAGAAAGGAACCCGGCACTGTGAGAGCCATTTAAAATGGAGACCTGATTCAGTTGCGGAGATTAAGAAGGGAATCCCTGGGGAAAATCCTTACACTACGATCTGAGGAATCAGTAGGATGACCTCGGGGAGGGAAGAGCAATCCAGGAAGAGGGAACAGCATAGGCCAAGGTCTCAGGGAGCATGGTAATGGATGCAGTATTTGTTGAAGAAAAAACAAATCTGTTTTGGAAGAAGTCCAGTCGGATTGTTCCTTGGAAATGAGGTGGGCAAGACTTCATCTTACAGACTTTGGAATGTTTGTCATCAGGAGGGGAAAGAACATCTGGAGAGGGACACCAAGCTTGTAAAAGGCCTAATGGAATTCTGAGACAAAAGACCAGTCATCTCTTTGAATTTCCCTTTTGCCAACAGCACTGAAGTTTTAAAACGTTCTCTTTCCATCATTCTTCTGTTCTAACAAGAGCATATTCCTGTGATTTTGTTGCTAGTTACTGGTGAGTCCATCCCATCCCGTGGCAACCCCATGTGAAAGCCTTTGAGCTATGGAGAAGCAGCAGAACAGAAAGAGCAAGGATCGTGAAGAACGTCGAATACCTCCCTCCATTAATACCTCCAATACCTCACCTATTAATCATATGGCAGTGAGAAATGTATTAATGTCTAAAGGTGTTCCTTGTTTTGTTTTCGGAGGGGAGTTATGACAGAAACAAAGCACAGAAACTTCTCACAATGGAACGATCACTTTGATTCCCATCAAACGTGCTCAGTTTCTTCTGAATGAAGAGAATGACAGGCCATTCTTCAGACTACTGCATCATAATTTACGCTGAGGAGGTTCTGGCCCATTCTGTACAGCCACACTGAATCTTTGTGCCGCTGGCAAAACCTGGCACTTTATTCCTGATTGTGTCATTTATTTTCTGGACTATAAAATAAATGAACTCTTTGAAGATAAAAACTGCTTTCTACTTAGGCTGTATCCTTAATACTTTAGTCACTATTATTCATCAAGTGTATTAAGAAAAATGTACCAAATTGAGAATGTATTCTTCTACTATAAAATGTGTCTCTACATGGTAGACACACAGCAACATCCCTGACTTTTACTGTGAGGTCGGTTCAGTTCCTTCTTTCAATACTCTAGCAGAAAGGAAACTTGGTGGCACTGTGGGGAAGGTGGTCAAATATCAATTGTATCAAGTACATTTGTACATATGCTGCCATCATTTTCAAAACATTTTCTTTCTACTTGTGCCCTTAGTATCAGTTCCTCTTTTTTCCCTCCCTCCCACCATCAAGACCCCTTGATAAATTATATTTTCTGTATCTTACACTGTCCGCGGTCTCCCTTCATCTATGCTTCTGTTGTTCATGCCCCTGGGAAGTATCATATGTGGATCATGATCACCAGCTCCCTGTTTCCCCCCCAACTCTCCCCACCTTCCCCCTACTCTCATGGTATCGTTACTCCCATTACTGTTCTTGAGGGGTTTATCTGTCCTAGATTCTGTGTGAAGAGCTCTTATCTGTATCAGCGTACATACTCCAGTCTAGCTGGATTTCTAAGGTAGAACTGGGGTCATGATAGTGGGGAGGGTGGGGAAAAGTATTCAAGAACTGGAGTTTCTTATACTCTATAGCACTGTTTAATCGGTGCTATACTGCACCCTGGCTATCTCATCCCTTCCTTGTGACCCTTCTGTGAGGAGATGTCCCAATGTCTACAGATGGGCATTGGGTCTCCACTCCAACCCCCCTCCCTGGTATACATCAATATGATTCTATGTTTGGGGTCTACTGATGCCTGATCCCATCGACATCTCGTGATCACACAGGCTGCTGTGTTTCTTCCACGTGGCCTTTGTTACTTCCCTGCTAGATGGCCGCTTGTTTAACTGCAAGCCTTTAAGACCCCAGACGCTCTATCTTCTCATAGCCGGGTACCATCAGCTTTCTTCGCCACATTAGATTATGCACCCATTTTGTCTTCAGCAATCGTGTTGGGAAGGTAAGCATCACAGAATGCCAGGTTATTTGAATAAAGTGTGCTTGCGTTGAGGGAGGATTTGAGTAGAGGACCAATGTCCATCTACTAGTGCAAGGTTTTATTAATGGTGGATACTCAATAAATATTAAACAGATGAATCAGGGAAGGAATAAGCATGTCTCCCCCTGTAACTGGCCAAATATTTGTATTTATCTTCTGAACTCCTTTGAAAATGGTTTTGACAAGGTTTATAATACTAAACAGATCAAAACTATAAATTATAAGAAACAATTATAAAGAGAAAGTTACATTAGATCCCTGTGATGAACTGGTTATTTCATTAAAGTTCTGAGTTTTCTAGAAGTCTATTTTTTAAAAGGAAACAAGATAACATATATAATTACTTCTGGAGAGATGAAGCTTCTTCTGGATAATATTCTACTTCAGAAATTTTAATTAAAAGGTATATGAAATATGCTAGACAGTAACTCAGACATTTTAGTTGTAGAAAATATCAATCACGTGCTTGAAATCTAGAGATATCAGGATGATGCAACTTTATTTTCTTAATTTTTTTCAGTGTAAAAATCAACTTAAAATCATCAAAGCACAAATCTAGATATATAGATAATAAGTATAAAAATATTTAATTTAATGAGCCCCAACATTCATGGCTGCCTTAATTCTCAAAGGTAACTAAGTAATTATCATATTGGGTGAAATGAGTGGAGGGACGGGGATGATTTTATTCTGGAGAAGACCAAGAGAGTAACAGAATATGGTGTTTCTATTTGGGCCTCCTTCTCTGCTACTCCCACCTCTCTCCCATTTGTACATTCTTCCACACTCGGTGCTGGCTACTGCTTTTCGCTTTTCCTCCATCCTAGTCTTCTTACCTCTTCAGTCAGGGTATCTGAGAGGAAAGTCCCATAATTCGTAGTTCTAGCTACGAATTTCCTGAGAGAGTGAGAAAATTTAAATAAAGTGATTAACCATGTATACGTGTGTGTATCTATACATGTACATATATGTATAGAGAGGCAATTCTCCCTGCTAAAATCAGCTTCTGCCAATGCCACCATAATTCTCCTGTCAGATTCAAAATCTTATAATAATATTTGATTTCTTCCCTTTTTCCCCATCCTTCTCATACTGAATTAATTCTCAAAGCCTATCATTTATATTTTTTGAAATCTCCATCTTCTCTCTCTGCTACCCTTCCTCTCTATTCCATTCAACTATCCAAGTCCAAGTCCCTCACCTACCTTGTGTCTGAATGTTCACAAGTTCCTTACCGGATCTGCATTTTTATCCACATTTATCCTTTACCCATTCTAAAATGAGCTTGGGCTTTGTTTTCAGTCCTGTTATGAGCCTTAACAACAACAAGAAAGATCAAGGACTGTCCATCAACAGATGAACGGGATAAACAAAATAAGGTATATATGAAGAGCTTCAAAAAGTTGATAGGACAGAAACCAGGAGTGGGAATGGTGATGCCGGAAGGGCAGGGGCAAGAGGGGGAGAGGAAGGGAGAAAGGGGGAACCAATCACAATGATCAACACATAACCATACACCCCTCTACAGGGGGAAGAACAACAGAAAACGTGGGAGAAGGGAGACAGCGGTTGGTGTAAGAGATGAAAATAATAACAATGTACAATCTATCGGGAGGAGGTTATGTAGGGGAGCGGGGGAGAAGAGCTGGTACCAAGGGCTCAATAGAATGTAAATGATTAGAAGAGAATGAGGGCAACATATGTACAAACATGCCTGATTCAATTGATGTATATATAGATTGTGCTGAGAGTTGTACGAGCCCCCAATAAAATGATTTAAAAACAAAACAAAAAGGTGATAGGAAAATCCCATTATCTTTAATTCTACTTTTTCTTGAACTTTTTTGAAACTCATATATATATTTTGCAAAAAATAGACCTCCATAAAAAATTTAGGAGCCAAAAAAAGTGAAAACACAGTTCCATATAAAACCCTGCTGAGCTAAACACTGGGCAATGAAGGCAATGCTGAAAATCAGAACAATTAATCTTTTTATCTATTTTTCATCAGTTAAACTACAAGGCCACACACATTTCATCCATTAAGGTATCCACAACCACTTGACATTTCCATAGCCCAATTTCTAGTTCCTATCTCCACACCTTTCATCTGACCAGGTATCCATCAAACCCTGGCCCCGAGACTTTCAACATCTTAATGTACTTCTTTCTTGCAATAAAAGCTACCTCAGGTGACTGTTGAGTGCACTATTCCTAACTACTGATATCTCCCTGTAGCATGCTAGACTTGATCTTGGTCTGTCCTACACTTAGAATTTTTGTGTGCTTAATAAACGACATTACCTAAGCTCTGCAACTAAATCATCTGATCAGCAACACCAAGTTCTCTTTTAATTATTTGTATCTCACCTCTCAATTACATTTAAGGATGCCACTTAATATTACACAGAAAAATAATTTTAACAGCCTTCATAAAAACAATATTGTTTAAAGGACACTTACGATTCATATTCATCCTGTATTTTTGCTTACACTGAAGCACTTACATTATTATTGTGAAGATATTCAATTGCTCGAAGAATCTGGAAGAGGTATTTTCTAAGTCGTTTACTCTCCAGTCCATGACAATAATGTTGCAACTCATCTAATACTGTATGGTCAATAAATTCAAACACCAAATGAATTTTCTTCTTCTGTCTAAAAACTTCAATCAGATTGACCAAGTTTTCATGATGAAATTGCTATTGACAAAAGAAACACATTTTATAAATTATTTAATGCACAATAACTTGAACAAAATAATGCTTTTATAACTCTTAAAGGAAGTGAATACCCTCAGCTTCATTTCATTCATGCATTTCAGCTGATTTCTCAGATGATTGGGTTACTTTCATTTCATGATCAGTATTCAGAGTAAGTAAAATACATTACTTTACCCCAGAATGACACTGGATTGCTTATTAAGATATTCTAGAGTCAGTGGACTACAACTTTGAATTCTGCTAAAGGATATATGGCTACCCTTTAACTTGGTTTGTGATCAAAGTTAACATCTCAAATTTAAAAGGTCCTTAGGTTTCCATATGATTGTAGATTTCAACAGCATTGAGTATTTAATTTGAATATCCTCTAATTTTGGTTCTAAACTCTAGAGTAAACTATAAATTTTAGGTGAGCACTATAAATTCATCAGACTGAAAGAGAAGCGTGTTGTCTAGAAACTCCTGATGAGATTCTCTCTTCAGATATAAAGAGATGATCTCATAACTATAGTAATTTTACATAAGTATATAGTTATTATTTGGTAAAATTCTATTAACTGTACTAGTCTATTAAACAACAAAACACTACGTTAGAATGGTAGCAATAATTGAAATGGACATAACTTCAAGAAGTCAAAAATAGCCAGCCATCTATCAACTTAGAAAACAAATGAAGTTGATCTTTTATGGGACTCATACTATCTTTCAACATGCTACCTTAGTTACAACTAATGTTGAAATGATTTAACCATTGCTTGTAATTATAAAAAAAAATATTCATTTGGCTAAAAATCAAGGGGTATATTTATGTTGCCTTAAGAAACTATACGTTTATAATAAAATATTTGCTTTTATTCCAATGACACATCAACTTTCTCCATCTCGATACGAATACAGCTACTTAAGTCTTTACGATCTGACTAACAGAGAGCATGCCAAAATGCAATGCCAGACTTTTTCCCTGTGTTTGAGTTCAATTTCCCTAGTTGGCAAGAAGCCTGAGTATTGCAGCTGACAGCATGCTGGCAAGAGGATACTATAATATTAATCCTTCAAGTCAGGGAAATTACTGGTTTCCTCTCCAACCTTTATTTTGAAAGGCCTAGACAATGAAAGCAATTAATGTGAGTTCATGTAAATTAATAAGATAGGGGAAATCACTCAGGGGCTTGAAGATGAGTGAAAAACAGGTACTTTAGCAAGACAAACAATGAAACACACCCCCCCCCCATTACTAGATGTCTCTTCTAAAATAGTCTCATTACTTTTTTTTTTAGTCTCATTACTTTAACTGTAATTTATTTCATAAACTTTTTTAAAAATTGTATTTCATAAACTTGTAACATAAAAATTTAGTTCAAAATAAGTTACGATGGCAATGTTTGTAGGGGCAGTTCTACTCTAATGCAGGGTCGCTGCGCTGGAATGGACTCATTGGCAGTGAGTTTGGTGGGGGTTGCAGGGAAAACAATGAAAATAAAGATTTACGGTGTCTCAAAAAAGTCAGCCGTTCGAAACCACTAGCCACTCCATAGTAAGATGAAGCTTTCTGTTCCGGCACAAAGTGAAGTCGCAAATCCACAGAAGCAGTTCGACGCTGTCCTACAGGGTGCAATGAGTCAGAATTGACCCGATGACTCACGTTTGGATTTTTGGTTTTAATAAATAAACAGCAGAACCTGTCAGAGTGGGAACCTGTACACAGTGGACACTTTTCAGGCTTTTCCATTAAACAGCGAAGGAAAACTGGTTATGCCTCGGAGACGTGGAAAAACTAGGCAGTCCCTCTGAGTTTCCGCTCTCAGAGTTTCACTGTAACGGTCAGAATGCATTTCCAAGTACATGTTCTGACCACATACCGGTTATTTTTACAAAATGATTCGGTAGAGAAAAATAATCAACAGAAGTGCAATAGACCAAGAGAGGGAACAAGATTCTCTAGAAAACGGCCTTGAAGCCAGGTTTTCACTCGGGGTACAGCCAGTTCCCTGTAAGGGTGAGAACCGTCTTGTACATCTGTAGATGGAATCAAAGTCTCTGGCACAAAGCTGACATTTTACGTGACTCTTTATTATACGAGAATATTTCTGAATTACCTGGCGTAGCTTCGGTTAAGTTATACACAAGCACATCGTGCTCCACTATAAAATTACAATACGAAATGGAGCGAACTGCAGGGCAGCCCACTTCGTCTTCTACCAGGTGCCTTAGTGCTTGTTAATGGGAATATTCTCGTCAAACAATTCCTGGTGCTTCCTTAACAAGTTCCCTCTTGATGGATTAGAACAATGAAAGCGAAAAGAAGCAAACCTTTAGGAACTTTATTTCTCTCGTTGCGATTTTGTTGACAGATTTTTCTGGTTTCTCATAAAATATCTTAATGGCCACTATCTGCCCAGAAACCTTATGTTTGCACTTCATGACGGTTCCGTAACTTCCCTCTCCCACTTTGCCGAGGGTTTCATACATCTCCATGATCCCGTCGGGCTTCTGCTTCTTCGGAGGAATCAAGAGGGGCGACAGGGGAGGTGTGTCGGTTCATTCAGGCGTCGTGGGTCATTCACCCCCCCACCCCCACCCCCGAAACCGAGCCTCCTCTCCACAGAGCCTGTCGGTCGGTGTTCGAGGGCCAACAGAACTGACGGGTCCTCGGGCGCCCCGGCCACTCCGAGGGAGGTGCCCACCCTCCGCTTCCCCACCATCCGGCGGGCACTCCCCCA